GGTTTCCGTACATGCCCTCGCTCTTGATCTGCACCCCAAAGGAGTCGCCGCCCTTCTCGCCGCTGTTGAGGACCACGAAGGGCTGGCCGGCGATGCCCTGCACGCGCACCGCCACGCCATACGAGCCGGGCTTGCCCGCCTTGGCTCGCAGCTTGTGGGGTTTCTTGGGCTCCTGCAGGTCGTTTATGAAGCGGATCTGGACGCCGTAGTCCACAGGGCTCTGCTTCTCGGCCATGGCCGTGCTCGCGGGCCAGTCCATCTCCTGAGCTCAGTGCTGCCTTCCTACAGGGGAAGAGAGGGCAGAGTCTTCCTCAGCCCCGTGCTAGCACAAGGCAAGAGGCAGGAATTGAACCCAGGAGTGCTTAGCATGAACCCCCTTTAATTAACAGGGGTCTGCCCAAGGGCAAGATTTACTTTGCTGTGCACAGCTCGCAAGGGTTGGTCCCAAAGCCCTAAATTGCTCCCTTCCTGAGCTCAATCCAGCAGCACAGCAGCGTTTTCCCTCCCGTTCCTCTAGCAGCCGATCGCTGATGTGACCCTAGCAGAAGATGCAAGGAGAATGCCCAGGGTGGGGGGATGAGCAGCGTCTCCAGAACGGGCTGCAGGACCAGGGAGACTCGTTCTGCTGACAATGGCATCACTCAGCCGCTCCTCGCGGCGTCCTGGCATGGGGACGCTGGGGAGAGCAAAGCACACCACCCTGAGCAGAGCGACAGCAGACGCTTACCGGAGCGGCAGCGGAGCAGACGCTTCTCCTCCCACTCCCCCCTTGCGGTAGGATCCCGGTGAGACAGCGGATGAAGAGGTGGCACCTGGGCGAACTCTGCAGCTGGGATGCACTCCTGCTGCCTACAAGGCGCTGGCAGAGTGCTGCATCCTCACTGCAGCAAGAGCTCAGGAGTCCTCCGTCAGCATCACCCAGCACACCCAAAGCCCCCAGGAAAAGCCCTGCCAGAGCCAGTGTCCACAGCAACCCTCTGTTCCCATGGTGGGGTGGCCATGAGACTCCCACTGGGAGGGAATAGATATTAGCAGTGACATATTGAGAACAACGTGATGTAACACTCCCCCTCGGTCCCAGCGGCAGCCTGCACCCCGGGCTCTGCTTGTGCCGTGGACAAAAGGAGGCGGTGAGCTGAGCCAGTCCTGCAAGCCACCCGTGCGGCTCTGCCCCGAATTAACGGCAGTGGGGTGCAGAGCTGGCAGAGGCAGATGGGAGCAACAGCCTGCTGGGAACACCTCCAGCTCGCTACTGACTGCAGGTGGGATGTCGTTGGACAGAACCAGCCAGAGCAGCTATGCCGAGCAGGTACCGCGCTCCCTCAGTGCCCGCATGCACCTCCTGGCAAAAGGAGCCCCGAGAGCGGCATGGCAGCTCTTCACGCAGAAGGAAAGGGCTGCCAAGAGGCTCTTTTTGCAGCATGGAAGTGGCCACTGCCCAAGAGCTTTGTGCTTTGGGCAGCTCTGCAGTGCTCCTCTTCAAGAGCCAACAGGACAGTGATCTCTTCCCCCTAGGTGTCTTGAGGATTTAAGCGATAGAAAAGTGATAGGTCAGCCTTTGAGCCTCACGGCATTGTATTTCCAACCCCCCAAGACCACCAGGGAAAGGAGCTGGCACTCCTCTTCCTGTTTGAAATAAACAGGATCGCAGGAGCGGGCAATTCAAGATGCTGAGAGCCCAGCCTACGGCCACATCCCTGAGGGTGGCGCAAGGGACCCAGGGAGGGTAGCCCAGAACCAGGTAGGGTAATGTTTAAACATGTCTTGCATGTGGAAAAATAAAAAAATAATATTAAAAAAAACAAAAACATGCCCTCAGCTTTCAGTTCAGATCCTGATATCATTTCCAAAGTCATCATCCTGGCCCAAACCAGCAGAAATTGAGGGCCCATGCATGCCCAAGGTCCACAGGCTGCCAGAACGTGCATGGCAGGGCACACGGCCAAGCTCTCCTACAGCCTCATGTCAACCATGAGACCACATTTTCTCCCGCACTCACCCTGGGGAAGAGATTCCCCCCAGAGAAGAGAGGATGGGGAGAGCATCCCTGCTGCCAAGGATGCTGGCATGGGGCCAGGCTCCCCATGCCAAGGCCAAATCTCCCAGAGATCCCTAGCCCAGAGAAGATGCGTGGGCTGGAGGCAGGGTCAGATGCCATGCGGAGCGTGCCAGGCATTGCCAGGAAGGACGAGCTCTTTTTGCGTCTCCCCTCTGCGCAGCATGCCCACCCGGCTCGTGCCAGCTCCCCATGGCCACCTTCTGCTCCCGTCCCCTGGCCAAGACCAGGCAGGAGCAATTCCTGCCAGGGCCGGCACCTCACCCCAGGGCCACAGGAGCACCCAGACCGTTCTCCAGCAGGAACACATCCCCGTTCAGCAATGCTGGGCTTAGGGGAAAGCTCGCCAGTGAGCGAAGCAAGGGTAATCTGTCTGCCTGCTCTAAGTGAGATGGAAAAAGTCTTAGCCGGAGATCTGCAGCACAGGGCAAAGAGGGAGCTGAAGACTTTTTACTGGGGTTATGATGAGCTTTTAGGTCTTTTGCATCCATCTCCGAGACCTAACAGTGAGCAGCAGCTCCCAGAAATTGTATAGAGCAGCAGGCAAGTGACAAGCGATTTGTTTCAAAGGCTGAAAAGCAGCCAGCTGGCACTTTCCTCTAATCGGAAGGGCAACACAGGCAAAGAATAAGGCCCCAAGCAGATGGCAGGTTATCACTGTCCTGCAGAGGGGTCATAAAACACACCTGACCCCACAAGGTGCCCCACACACCCGCTGGTCAGCCTTGCAGGAGCATCAACATAGGGAACAGACCAAGGGGATGGCCAAGGCGCCCAGGGGCAATTTGGCATAGAGAAGAGCCCCGGATGTGGCACAGAGCCTCAGCAGCCTGGAGGGACACAGTGGGCAGGGGTTCCCCAGGGTGACACCCTGGAGACGCGGCCCCAAGCACCAGAGCGTGAGCTCCTTACCCCTGCCAAGCATCAAGATAATAAGATCAGCAACAGATATCAGTGTCTGTAAATACACCCTGAATGCAGCACCCACAGCAAGTTCGTAAACCAAATCCTATTATTCCAATGCTTCCTGGGGATGCCGGCACCAGCAAACCACTATCAGCAGAGCATCTCGCCAGCTGCCTGCCTTATCCCCTCTGAACTGTAGGGATGATCAATGGCTGGGGACTCTGGCTCGACTCTCAGGGAGTGCCTGCAAGAGCTGACAATAGCTCCTCTTGCTCGGGGATGGCCGGGCCAGGCACAGCCTTCGCGGGCACAGCAAGGGCTGATGCCTCAGAGCTCCACAGCTGCCCCGCTCGGTGGGAAACTGGAGCGGCTGGGAAGAGGACAGCCACCAGTGTGCAGCAGCAAGCCAGAGGGGGAAAGCCAGCTTTAGAAACAAACTTCAAATTTATCCACAGCAGCCAGTGTCCAAAGTGCAGCCAGCAACAAGCCACAGCCTGGGTGGGGAGCAGGTGTGTCCCTGACCTCTATCGGGGCAGTAACTGCAAACCCTGGGTGCAACACCCAGCTCAGCTTTGCAGGACCAACCTTCGGATGCAGAGGCAAGGGAGTACAGCCCATGCTGGCATGTGGGACAGCGTCATGGCATGGGTCCCGCTTGCTGGGGCATCGCTGGCAGTGACAAAGCCCACCAAAAGAAGCATTGGCTGTGCCACCAGTGCCACTGTCAGCAAAGGAAGGAGCTCCGCCCCACCTGTGGGTGGGCCATGCAAGGAATAAGGTGGCAGAAACCCATCTAGGTTACACAGTGCTGACAGTGCTTCTGGGCTCAGACCACTCGGCTCCCTGCACAGAC